TATATATTGATTGAATAACATCTGCTATTATTCATCATTATCATACTAATATTGTCTGTTCGTAACTTCCAAAACTGCATTATTGATTTCCTTCTACAATCTTTTTACGTTTACTTTTGACACTAGATGGCGCGATGCTGTCATAAACTTTATTTTGAGTAGTTGCCACAAGGTGGCAGTGGTAATAGTTTGTTCCTTTTTTGCCGCACAAGTGTTTCCGTTTCCGATTTGTAATGTTTTTGTTATGATTGACTCGTTATGATTAATCGTATAACTTTGTTGCTCTGCTAACAAAAAGCAGATTAATTTAATGTAATTGTGTAATTTAAAAAAATATCGAAGATTGTTCAATCTAGAGCCACTCACAGTATGTAATGCGTATCTGATTTTAAGCAACTGACCTACAGTAACAATATAGACCACTCTTCACTAACAGTAACAAGAACAACCAGCTGAACTGAAGTCAAAGTTATTCCATCTTTTTAAGTTTAAAATCATTACTAGGCCCCTACTCAATACTAGTCATTACTAACTGCAGCATCGATGCCTCGTAATTCGCTTGTTCATCAGACGACTACCATTTCATTGCATATCAGGTCCAGCTAACCCACTGGCACTACTTCACTGCACCAATACACCGAAAGTTGAAACTACATTCAACAAACGAAACACAAAACTGCATGCATGCAGGTGAGCGGCGATGCGTAGTTCTATCTGACCGACATGAACAACAGCAGCGGCGGCGGCGGCACGAACGAGACGACGAGCACGCCAGCAGGGAGCGCCACCGCGGTGGGCGTGGTCGAGGGCGATGCTCCCGAGGATGCGGGTGACGCGTTGGTGACGGATGCGGGTGACGCGTTGGTGACGGATGCGGGTGACGCGTTGGTGACGGATGCGACGCAGACGGACACGAGCGTGGCGCACGAGCTCACGGTGCCGATCGTCGGCTATGAGGTCATGGAGCAACGCGCGAGATTCACGGTGAGTCTTCAGCTATAGCCACCATGTTACTATACTGCTGCTGCAGTTACTACATGACTACAGCTACTACGAGACTACAACTACGAGACTACAACTATAGTACAACAGCTACTACAATACTACAGCTATAGTTAGTTACTACAATACTACAATACTACAGCTACAGTTACTACCATACTACAGTCTACAGCTACTACTACAATACTACAGGCTTCTAGCTACTAATACTACAGCTTACAATTTAATTTCCTATCTTTTTTATTTAATAAAAATACAATATACATGCTATTACTTACAATACATACAGCGTACTACATACTGCAGCTACGTGTTGCTATCATACTACAGTCTACAGCTACTACTACAATACTACAGCTACAGTTACTACCATACTACAGTCTACAGCTACTACTACAATACTACAGCTACTACAATACTACAGCTACAGTTACTACCATACTACAGTCTACAGCTACTACTACAATACTACAGCTACAGCTACTTAACATACTCGATCTCAGCTACTCACTTACATTACTGAAGACTACTACAATATCTACAGGTACAGTTTACTAACATACGTCTACCAGCTCTACAGCTGAAACTATACCAAATACTACAGCCTTCACTGACTTACGATCAGTTGACGGACAGCTCACCAGACTGTACCACTCCCCATTACTACCAGTCTACCAGCTAGCTACTACAACTCCTACACGAGAGGCTCTGACTGCGAGCTACTAAATCAGTTATACGGTAACTCTCCTAATACGTTCCTCAGCTCTGACTCGCTCGCGTCACATTACCTCTCCTCTCGCTTATTACAATACTGCAGTTACCACAATACTACAACTACAATACAACAGCTATAGTACAACAGCTATAGCTACTAATACTAAAACAAAAATTCTACAGTGCTCTGAAAGCTCGCTCGCTACCTTATCTTCTCTCTATTCTACACGATTAACTCACTCTCCTTTAGGAAATTACTATCAAATACCGTGGAACAACTATAATGCATCTACAGCAGCACACTGTACTACAATACTACAGCTACAATAGAATAACTACAATACTATAGCTATGGCACTGCAAATACAATAATTCAATTACTATACTATAATAGCTACAGCACTATAATACTAAAATTACAATGCTGCACTTCTATAACTACATTGGCTAGATGTGGTGTATATGTGATGTACAAGCTATGATCCTACAGTTGCAGAGACTGGGCATGGCTTACTCCTGTACCCACCAGAATCTAGAGACCCTGAGAATGAGTACTGTAATGTAATTCTATCTTGTTGAGTAATGTGATTGCTTAGCCTTAGCAGAATCTCTTTCCCCTCTCCTTCCTCTCCACTCTCCCCTCTCCACTCTCCCCACCTTTACCTCCCTGTACCTTCTCCCTCCCTGTCTTTGGTTGGAGATGGGTCTCAATATGGAGTTTCTTTCCTCACTTGAACATGGAGTTTACCTCACGCACGTCTTAGCGTACTTGCAAGCTACAGGTGTGTTGATTAGTTCGTCTGCTTCAGGTGTATAAGGTTCACGTGCAGCGTGGCCCACACGACAGCTGGTTCATCTTCCGTCGCTACACTGACTTTGTGCGACTTAACAGGAAGGTGAGCATGATGTACGTTAAGTGTGCCTGACATGCTTCATGTGTATATAATATATCATTGTTAGTTATAATCTAGCTGCATAATTAATGCGTGTATGTATTGTTTGCGATGTATGCATTGATAATGAGCAGTTAAGCGAGACAAAATATCAAAGTGTGTCAAAATGTCATAGTGTTAGGTGTTTCTCATCAGAGCTCTCACCTGGACAGGTGTGGACTCAAGTCTATTTAAGGAGGCTTGTACACACATCAGCATCATTATCATCATTACCATAACCCTAAACCTAACGAAGTGGCTCCCAAACTGTGCTCTTCTCAACCTATACTCTACACGCTACATGTACACTATTTCACACGCTACATGCCCGTTCTATACTATGCTCACTACGTCTACATGCTACTACTATACTCACAAGCTTACGCGGTGCCTATACTATTCACTCACACGCCTACATCTTACACGTTATTACTCGACACTTTAACTGCTATACTTATACTCACCGCTACATGCTACACTGATCTCACACGCTACATTGCCTACACGTATCTTCACACGCTACATGTACACTATACTCACACGCTTACATGCTTAAGTATACTATACTCACACGCTACATCTTACTACTATACTCACACGGTACATGGCTACACTATACTCTCACGCTACATTGCTACACTATCATACTCACACGCCTACATGCTACACTATACTCACACGCTACATGACGCGTATACTATACTAAAACCCAACCGTGCTTTTTTTTTTACTCCATGTGCTACACTACAGCTCACACGCTACATGCCGTTATACTATAGCGTCAGTCACGTAATATTCGGTTATTACTTCATACTCACACGCTAATTACTACAGTATATCTCACGACGCTACATTGCTACACTATACTCACACGCTACAATGCTTACACTACACTCACACCGGCTACATGCTACACTGTATGACGTCACACGCTACATGCTCTACACTTATACTCGCATCGGCTACATGCCTTACACGTATGACTTCACACGCTACTATGGCTCACCTTACTATCTCACACCGTTAAGCATTGCTACACTATACTCACACTGTACCTGCTTACACTTATACTCACACGGCTACATGCTACACTTATACTCACACGCTACATGCTACACTATGACTAATACTCACGACGCTACAGTGCTACACTATACTCATTTACGCGTACGCGTAGTACTTATACGCACACGCTTACGTGTATACGTTATTACCTCACACGCTACGCTGCCTACATGTATACGGTCCTCATACTTTACACGTACATGCTACACTAGTATCTATACGCTGACATGCTACACGTATACTCACAGCGCTGACATGCGTAACGTATACTATACTCACACGCTACGATGCTCAAGTATTACTCCATTACGCTGAATGCTATTACTCATACTCACACGCTTTGTGTATACTATACGTCACACCGCTAGCATGCTATCTATACTCACACGATACTATTGCCTTATACTAATACTCACACAGCTACATGCTACACTAATATCACACGCTACATGTACACTATTACTCACACTGTACTCATGCCTTACTAACCTTACTCACACGTACATGACTGATGACTATTACTCACACGGCTACAGTGCGTATACTATACTCAACGCTACATGCTATACTATCACTTTCACACGCTACATGCTACACTATTACTCCACACTGCTACATGCTGACACGGTATACTTGACACGCTACGATGCGCCTTATCACTATTAGCTTCTAACGCTACATGTAACATGCTACACTGACACCGCTACGATGGCTGACATTCTACACGCTTACATCACACATTACATGCTGCATGGCTTACCACTCAACACGCTACATGCTTATTTGGCCTACTGACTACACGCTACATGCTACATTATTACTGCAGTGCTTACACCTTGCATGTAGAGTTTATTGTGTAACTTTGCACTACGTCTGACATGCTCGTGGGTCACTATGGCAGTTACGTAATCTGATCGTTGTATATAAATTTCCTTGGGAGATTATGTTATATCAATAGAAACTGAAGGTAACGTCGAATTTGGGTAGTGTCATTTCCTGGCTTCTAATTATGTCCGGTTCTGCGTTGTGAACACTGACTATGTTGTGTGAAAAAAATGTATTGAATCTGCCTGTGATATCCTATTTTTGTCTTAAAATGATTACGGTCACATAAATAGTATAAAAATTAAAAAAAATTTCGCACCTTTTCACGAAATGTAAGTATAATTCCTTGGGTCACATTTTTTATGGTTAAATTGCCTGACTTTTACTTCCTATTTTAGCTATATCTGTTTCGATGTAGACAGTACAACTTCGGTGGACTGTATCACATCCCATTAGCACGCCATATTAATGTCTATAGATGATAGTTCATATATCAAATTCGTCCAGGGTTTTTTGGATTTTTAACTAGTTGAGAAACAATCTTATCAGGTAAAGAATTTGAACGATACGTTTATCCTGTTAGGCTTACTTAGCTCTTATAAGTGTAAAGAAAAAATGTGCCCAACAAAAATTTTACAAATATGCAACTATATGAAATTCGTGACGTAGTCACCTTTATGAGCTAATGCAGCAAGCATTCCTCTAGTTATGCGTGAGCTTGCTGAGGAAGGATGCCTCCAGAACCCACTAGCAAGTCAGCATTTCTTGCTTGCCTTGTCGCCGGTTGAATAAATTCATAGTCAGTTATAAGGTGGAACAGTAGGATTGTCACAGGGGAAACGTTGTTTTATTTCAGCACCAGCACTCTGTCGTCATACCGGCCCCGTTCTCTCTCACGCATCCCATGACGAGGTGACCACTGCTGCGTCTATTTTACCGTGCAGTTTGTGGGACTGTGTCCAAATCCAATCCTTTGGCTCTTGGCCTGGCTGCAACTGTCCCTCCTAACTTTTTATTCTGCATGCGTTGCTTCGAATAGTTGGCGTAATTATTTATAGCCCACTCTGTACTGCGTGTCCTCATTACAACT